CCATCGGATTCCGCTTCCGATCGGTCATTTGCTTTCGATCTCTGAACAAGCCAACGAGCGGATGTTGCAGCACTGCAAAGCGAACCGAAAACGATTCGCTCTGGCCCGAGTACCAAACGCAAAGACTAAAAGCCCTACACTCGAAGAAAATCCAACAGGCACTTCGGATCCGATACGGGTAGGATTAATCCAGAAAGACGACCATTTCCTGCGGATTAAACCCATCCCGTGGAAGTCCGCAGAATGCGATATTGGAATTTGGGGAATTCCGTATAACGCAATCATTGATTCAGGAGCGCCCGTTTTGGCAATTTCGTTAAGAGTAGTCAAGAGAGCGGGAAGGAAAAACGATCTGATCATGCTCACTGAGAAAGATCAGCTCGTTTCGGCAGATGAAGAAAAGATCAAGACCGTGGGAAGAATGACCAATGTCGCTTTCTGATTAGGAAAAGTGCACGCGCTTGGGGATGTCGTAGTACTAGATGTTAATACGTACGACGTTCTTTTTGGACTTCCTGCTCTTATAGCGTTACGAGCAAACCTGGATTTCGAACGACAATCTATCGTCCTCCGAAATACAGGAGGAAAACCCTATGCGGTGCCTATGAGACTAACCCTTCGTACCACCATCAACGCAGTCCCACGGGTTTCGCCGATGATGGCAGGGACTCTCCGCATGATCTCTTGGGATGAATCCGCAGATGGAAAGTCATCGACGAATGATGCGGACAACAGTGATGAGGACGACCCGGAGATCTCGAAGCTAGCACGACAGCGTGTTTACTACCCGCCACCAGAACGATAGCAAGAACGATGCATCTGACCAGTAGGAATGCTCAGAGGACCAAGGCGATGATCTTGGGTGAACCCCTCGTGCAGATTTCGAGGATGGTCGATTCTTTGGAACCCCCTCGAACCCTCTATGAAAGAATCACCCCGCTCCTCTCCTGATACAGCGACAAAAAACATTACTGCGACATTAGGGAACTTCCAAGGTCCCTTTTGACATCTGCTAAAGAAGTGCGATTGTTACGCTTGGGGGCGGAAGCAAGTTCTCTAGAACCCCCTGGGCGTCTCGAAACAGAAACAAACGAAATGGGGATAAAGATCGCAACTAAGAACGTGCCATGGCAGGATATTTGTGACGGGATTACCCCGGAAGGACACGTGGCAATCCGAAAAGAAGATGCCCAGATGATGGCCACGGTGTTCTCATGGCAATCGGACCATTCGTTCATTTCTGCACCCCCGCCCGATGTGGCGAAACCTGCACGCACAAAACAGATAGATGTATGGATCTGGGATCAACTTTTCGAGTTACACGTGCCACAGTACGTACCCGATGAAATTCATCGGTTCATTGCAGACATTTTGACGGAATATCGAGGAGCGATTAGCGTGACAGACACTGATATTGGCCTGTCGTTAGTTATTCAACACAAAATACAGACGGGAAATCACTCCCCGATCCATTGTAAGTCGTACCAATACTCACTGATAGAACGCAAAAAGGCTTTCGAACAAATTCAAGAATTCGAAGCCTGCGGATGGATTGAACCCGCCACCGGACCATGATCATTTTCCGTCGTACTAGTACTGAAGAAAAATGGATCAATCCGCATATGCATCGATTATCGCAAGTTGAATAAAATCACGATTAAGGATGCCAGTGTGTACCCCCTCCCCCGGATTGATGATTTGTTGGATGCGATTGGATGCGCTAATTATTTTCGCAAGTTTGATGTTCGACATGGCTTCCATCATATTCTGGTAAAGGAGGAAGATCGGGCAAAGACGGCCTTCGTACTGTTTGAAGGTACGTGGCATTGGGTTCGATGTCCGATGGGGATTTGCAACGCGCCTGCCACGTTTCAGCGAGCGATGAACATGACGTTCCAGAATTTCGTCAACAAGACACGGCTGACACAAGGGATGATTAACTTCTGCGTGATCGTGTACATGGACGATATCCTAGTCTATTCGGAAACCTGTCACGGACACGCGCAACATATTGAATGGACATTGGGCGCGTTGAGAGACGCTGGGTTTAAGATTGCGCTCGAGAAGAGTGAATTTTTCCTCTCGAAAATTTTGTTCTCATGCTATGTTGTGACACGTGGAGGACTATGACCGGACGCAAGAAAGGTTGCATCAGTGAAAGAAGCCCCGGCTCCCACGTCACTGACGCAGGTTCGAGCCTTCTTAGGGTTAGCATCGTACTACCGACGCTTCATCAAGGGCTTTGCCGCGATTGCACGACCATTAACGAACCTGTTGAGGAAGGACCAGCCTCTCAGCTGGGACGCGGAGTGCCAACAGGCTTTCGCAACCCTGAAGGGCGCTCTGGCGACGGCCCCTATTTTGATTCGGTCGGACTCCTCGAAACAGTTCATTCTCATCACGGACTGGCAACCGGAAGCTATCTCCGCTATTTTAGCGCAGAAGGGGAACGATGGTCGTGAACACGTCATCGAATACGCGTCACGCACGGTACCGAATGAGCGAAGGAATGACTCAGCACCTCAGGGCGAGTGTTATGCAATAGTCTGGGGAATCCAGCACTTCCATCCGTATCTCTACGGACAGAAGTTTCGCCTCGTAACAGATCACGAATCCTTGCTGGCGCTGAAGAAACTCACCAATTACACGGGCATGATTGGCCGTTGGGCGGTGCGACTACTAGAATATGACTTCGATATCATCCATCGAAAGACAGAGCGACACGACAACGCGGATGGACTGACACGTCTGCATCGACCGGCTGAAGTACCAAAGGGCGAGGAAATTACACCGTGAAAGGAGTTGGAATCGACAAACGAGCCTAAGTACGGACAAGTGGCAGTTCTCCCACGTGGCAAGAAGCAGAACGGTGGCAATGGATGACGGAGGTAACCCCACTACCCCTCTTTCCCCCCTTTCCTCTTCGTCTCTCCTCTCCCTGGCTGACAAATTTTGCTATTTTTGCGAAGCTATCTCCCGCATGTACTCGGTTTCCATTCGTCCTAACGGGGAAGGGTATGCGGACTGGATACATTGTCGACAGTGTGTCGCACGAGCCCATGGCTCGTGCATCCAATACAGAAACGATAGTAAACCGTGGTTGTGCCCCTTGAGTCGGACCGACAAGATTCCGACCGAGGCTCACTTTTTGGATGCCACGTCAGAAGGGTTGGAAAAGACCCGGAGGCTTAGAAGGGTCGAAGAATGGACTGATATTGCCTTGATTGCCACCCTAGTTGGCAACCCCCTCCAGGATTTTACCAAGGAAGATCGGAGGAGGGCCAACGAGAGGGCTCGAGATTACAGATGGATAGAGGGCAGATTAGAAAAACGGAAAACAAACGGCAGTGGGATTTGGATGGTTGTGCCGCATCCGTTCATGAGGGATGACTGGGTTAAGACAGCGCACGAAGAAACTGCGGCTCATTTCGCCGTACGAATCACGGAGTCCGCTATCGACAAAAATGAGTGGTACTGGTCCAATATCCGCGACGATGTGAAGTACATCGTCGCCAACTGTCAAGTCTGTGCCACTGATAAAGCGCCGATTCAGCCACCGAGATCGATAGTACCCACGGTAGTTGAACGACTGTTTCAAAGAGTGAGCATGAATACTACCGATATAGTGGTGCCCCCTGACCCTAATAGTTGCGAATATTCCGCTCTATTGGTATTTGTCGACCATTTCTCGAAATGGATCGAGGCGTACTGTTGTCGCACGCGGCAAGCCACGGAAATCGCGGGATACGTCAACAGTTTCCTCGGGATGCACCAGGATACGGAAGAGATCCTGACCAACAATGGGGCTGAATTCAGGAGAGAAGTGCTAAGGAATCTGGTCCTACCTGGCGTTGCCATACGGAATACTGCACCCCACATGTCGCAATCCAATGGACTGGTGGAAAATGCCAACTGGGTGATAAAGACAGCATTGCGACGAAATATCGCGGCACGGGATCCGAGGCCCTGGCCCGATATCGTCGACCAGATCCTGGCGGTCCATCGCGGAACGCCCCACGAATCGACAGGGTTGAGCCCCTTCCAGTTGAGGACCAATAGCGTCGCTTGCGTTTCGATACCAAGCCTCCCAGACGAATCCACACTGAACCGACGGCCCACCAGGGCTACAGCTCAGGACAAGGCCAAACGACACTTAGAATTGATGGAACGGTCCCTGCCCAGGCTAGCCCGAAAACGACAAAAAATGACCGAATTGGCCCAAGGCCGACAGGTCCGCAGTTACGCGGCCCGAAATGGGAATGCGGGTCCGCGGCCCCAGTACAAATTAGGGGACGTGGTGCAGGTAAGGAAATGTGCTCGCCAGGGTAAGGTAACGCCACGATTCTTCGGGCGATATCGCGTGATCGAGCTCAGCCCTAATGGCGTGGACACCGTGCGTCTCGCACCCGAGGTCTCTAGCAGTCGATCGGCTCGTCCGATCACACGCCACGTGTCCTATCTTCGCCTCCTCCCCTCTACTCCATCTCCTTCTTCATCGGCCTCCCCCTCAGAGGAAGCCGCCGACGACGGCTCTGTCTCCCTGGCATCTCCCTCTTCTTCTTGCACCCTCTCTGCCTCCCCGTCACCTTCGCCATCGCCATGAGTTTTCTGGAGGAGAGAGCCCTCAACGAAGCATCGCTTGCGCCCCGTGATCGATTGACGATCCGGCAAGTCCATCATCCCCGCCTCCGTCTAGATCTTCGGCGGCTTGTGCACTTCTTCTGCACGGAAGGCATGTATGCAGCGGTGGTGTTCAGAATCGAAGGCCGGCCTGACGCGGTGGTATTGGTCGAGGCGGTAGCAGTTCATCAGCGAGCGGTGCCAGGTATCATCTGCATATTGGTCATCATCAACTTCAGTGGCGATCTCTCCACGCTCCTTCCCTTACGACATTCGGCGGTGAAGGCGTCGCTGCGCACGTGGGCGAATGATCTTATCGCCAAGTGGACCCAGCTTTTGGCTCGTCACGGGGATACGATCGTGACGACACGAGCGATCGAGTACGACGGCCTTCAGATGTATCAGCGCGATCCGCCGGCGGAACTCCTTGTCCTCGTTCACTTCCCGTGTCCCCAATGAGTCTCGCTTCGATCTCCGTTTTTTATCTCCCCTCCACCTTCCCCACCTTCTAGCAGTCTGACATGCATCCTCGCCTTTCCTATTGTCTAAAGCCTCTTGTTGTCCCCCTTCTTCATCCTCCCCATTGGATCCTGTGGCGCGAGGATTTCATCGAGCTTTCCTTGTGTTTGGTTGAGGTACGGCTGACGTGGACCGAGGACGGAGTGCACCCACCTCGCATAGAGCGTCTGGAGTTGTTGTTTATCCGGGCCTGGCGCACCAACGTGGAGGGAGAGCTTCTCGCATTTTTATTTGGAACAGTGCGGCCCGGTCATCGGGAACTTATCGCGCAAGAGTTCACGATCCCTGTAGCGCAGCTGGCGGATGATCTCCCTCTCTACATTATCCCGCAAGACGACGAGCATCCGGTTCCCCACGTGCTTTCTCGCACATTGACACCTTACCTTCAGTGGTCGGCTTGCGTAGAGGGAGCCGCCGAACGCATCCCGTCGTCGCAGCAACAGTATTTGGATCCCCGGATGACTCTCGATCCTGCCTTCTTCAGGTACCCTACAGCGGAGCAGTTTGCTGCCATCCGAGAAGAAGAGGAGGAAGAAGAGAGCATCGGGAGTGACGAAGGAGAAGACGCGCGGGAAGAAGGCGGGGATAGCGACGAAGTGCTCGGTGAAGAGGACGAAACCCCCGAGGAAGGAAGCTATAGCGARCATAGCGAGGGGGAACAGAGCGAAGAAGAAGAAGACGAGGAAGGAGAAGAGGAGCACGAAGAGGAGCACGAAGAGGAGCAGGAAGAGGGGCCTGCTGGATCAGAGTCGGAAGCTGTGTCGGAGGAAGCACTGCGTAAGGGCACGAAGGCCGAAGATCCCGAGACGGCCCACAAAAGAGAAGAGATCGCAGCCGGGAAGGAGGAGTTAGAACTCGCAAGTGCAGTGAGTCTGCACATCCACGACGACCCAAACCGAGATCTGGAGCCGCCCCGACCTGAAGATGGCGACCTCGCGGCCACGACTCCGACCCCATCAGCGCGGCGACGGAGCCGATCCCCCTCCTCCCCAACCCGTCCCCCAGTTCGCCGATGTACCGATACGGGCGATCGGTCTTCATCCCTGATCACTCTCTCGCCGACCCCTTGATTACCTCACCTTCCACCAGCTCACCACCCCTGTCACGTTCCCCTCCAATCCGTTCCCCCGCGACACCTTCCGCCACTTCTACGCTGCTCGCCTCGCTATAGTAGTGCATCCCCACATCTCCATCCGATGCGCGGTCCCGACCTTCTGCCTCCATGTCTTACTCCTTAGTGTCGCGTGGCGAAGCCACAAGATGATCGAGGTTTATTGCATGGTAACGGGGACCATCCCCGCATGCGAAGACCGCGACCGCTTCCGCGCGGCACTCTTCCGAACTCTCACCACCCTCTATCCCGACTATCTCGCATCCCTTCCTCGCACTGACAACTGATTCCCCCGTTTTCATCGCATTGTTCGTTATCAGGAGCTCCCGAAGACTGTGGCCAGAATGGAAAGTCTCCTGCCCCCCTACCGATAAACCCTCCACCCCGCAATGTCGCTATGTACCGGCTTCCTTTTCCCCTCCCCTGCGGTCACTGATGGATGGTTGATTGACATGTGTCCAAATGACGACGCGTAATCCCCTCCTTGGATTGTCGAGAGCCCAATCTCAGGAATTAGTAGAAGAGCAGTATTGCCACCATTGGACGACGTCCACACTCAACTAAACGGTAAGTGGCATAGAGAGAGATGCTCCGCGTGTCGATCAATTAGAGAAATCGACACGTATCAACAAGCAAGCAAGAGCTTGCTAATATTGGAACCCTCTGGGCGTCATATATGTGATGAACCACTTTCTGTAACATGCGACTTTCTGCGCGGTTGCAATGAGGGGTCCTAAGTTGGGAAGGTTGGGCCAATTACGGGAAATCGGGATCGGTGGAAAATTGCATCAGTGTCCTTGCTTTTTCGTCTTTTCCGTCGTTTCTTTTCGAATGGCTGGGTTCGGAGCTGGGCGTGTTCTGGGATGGCCGGTTGATTGATTGGTCGGCTGGATGGCTGGCACGCCTCCGCGCGCGCGATTAATAAATGTTGACGTCGTTTCTCTCGCTTCGGTTTCGATCTTTTGGGCGCGGACATCACGCGGGAATTTGCCTTGTTCTTTTTGAATTTTTCTTTCAAATCTTTTTTGAATTTTGTCGAGCCCCGATGACTCTCGAAATTTCAGACTTTCTTCCCGGAACCTGTACTTTTGCTTTTCGCATTAGTTAGGAATTTAGGAATTTTGCAATCAGGACTTTCTTTTGCCGCACGACGCCCTTAATTGCTTACGCGCTTCTTTTTGCGGCTGCAACGGAATTCTGATTAGTCGACGTCTTTAATCGGGTGTGTAATTGTAATCTTGGGTTGGCGCCATTGTAACTGTATCTTTCTTCTTGCTCTTCGTCCTTCCCGCCCTCCTCCTCTTTCTTTTGCTGCGTTTTTGAAACTACGGACTGCATGCTCAGATCGATGCGTGGAGAGTGGCTACGTCCCCCACGTCGCGGTCCGGTCATGCAGAACGTAGGCGCTCGCTCTCTAATCTCCCCTCTAAGTTTTGGTAATTCCGTGTTCTTCGCGCATGCATGCACGCTATAAATTTCGATTGCACGATTAGTTAGCTCTCTTAACCAGTTGTTGGAAGCTCGGGGTTGCGCGATCAGGAAGGGTCGACACACGAGCGAAGTAAGACGTGAGTAGAGCAGGAGTCGGGCGACCCGACGATCTGGTGCCGAACGCGCGGAGTTGACGCGGGCCACGACGGACTGTGGGCGCGGGCGAACCTGACGGGTACGGGAGGACTAAGCGGGGTGACGACTTCGTGGGTTGGTGCACGACGACGGACTGTCCGCATCGGAGAAGAAGAGAGAGGAAGAGAGAGTAGAGGTTGATGCATGCGGTTTTGTTGTTTCTTCTATCTTTTCTCCCTCCTGTCTTGTGTACATAAGTTTTGATTTCGGCTCCGGGCAGCTTGCCCGTTCTTTTCAATTTCTCGGAATTTGAACCTCGGGTTTTTGCTTACATTTGCCCTCGCGACTCTCCCATCTTTGAGGTGCTATGTGTATGATTACGGAATGGATGGACGTATGGATGCCATGCTTGATTGCCTATCTTTTTGCTGAGAAACCCTTGTCTTTGCTTTTGTTGGTCGCATTCGATGCACTCGTGTGTAGAATAGGGATTTTGCACAATCGATAATCTTGTCTTTGTCTCTGCTCGTTTAAATTTTTTGATCGAGCTGGTTGTGATCATTGCATCTTGCATAACTCAGAACATCACGAAGTGATTAGGCGGTCGGATCCCAGGCTCGAGGAACACCGCGCGAGGACACGTGTAAGACGCGATCTAAGTTGCGCACTTACATATATCCCCGTGCGTCGACTCAACGGGACCATCAATCCGTCCGATTGAGAGCGGCCATCTCGAAATCCGCAACGACGCAATCGTCCCGCATAAGCACGCGTACGTCCGACGACAGTCACGCGGCCTACACGTGCTCGCACGCGACGACCGTGATCCGTCCTTAGGCAACTCATAAATCGCAATGTCATGATGACGCGATCTTGGGATTCCGACTCATCCTACGACCCGGATTACTTCACCCCTTTGATAAACGAACTCCTCCGATAGAGATACCCCTGCCACACCGAGAATCGACTATGTCCTCGGGAGTTCCATTGCGCCACCTCTAGCGACCCGTGGTGCTCTAATTTCCCTTTTCCCGACCACACCTACTACTTCATCCACCCGGGATTTGTCGTCATCACCACCAGTTTCCCTCCTTTTCGCCTTCTTCTCCCCCGGAATTCCGAAGGCCCAACACAAACACGCAGCGGCCTGCGCCGCGTGGCGGCCTCTGACGGCCCAACTTTTCAGGCCCACCTCCTCCGCGGAGGGACTTTCTCGTAAGCCGTCGCCCACATTACCCCGGCCCCATCGGGCCTTGAGTCCCTTGCGCACGCGCCCCTTATTCGCCTAATTGCATTCATACCCCTAAGACTCCCCCACTTTCCCCAAAAATCCTTGGCACACCCCTTTTCGCACTTCCAGGCTCACATCCCACTTCGATCAGGAAGTCGCGCTGGGCGTGAGGTTGGGCGTCACATTACCTCGAAACTGGGGGCAGTGTCCCAATAATATGGCCCTCCAGTCCCATGGCCATGATGACCCTGATGCAATACGCCGCCAAATCCTATCCCACCATCGCCACAGTAATACGGCTCCGAGGCACTGCAAGAAGATGTGCTCAACTGTCTCAGGGCACTTTTTTGGGGGGAAGTTCTGGAGGCATCTTCGGCACCAGGAAAGCGCCCGTCCATGTTGTTCCAGCTGCCTGTGGTCAATCAGCCAATCGTTGGTCGGCAGGCACCGGTGGGCAATTTGCCATTGCAGGGCAAAAATTTTGGCTAGCCTCTTTCAATACTCTCTGAACCACTGGATGGGTTTGAGCAGGTCTCTATCTATGTTCAAATGGCGTTGCCATCTGTCCTCTCCCGCATCTCTTAGCGTACGCTTGGGTCTGAGTATTCGGTATACTGCCTTAGTTTTTAAGGCGACTAGCGCTACCGGTTTCGCCTTCCCCCTCCTTTCCAGCATTTCCCCATCTTTCCACGACCATCTCAACTCATCGGGATCGAAAGGGAGGTCCTCAATCGGGGTCATTGGCCGTAAGCCCTCCAACCCCTCTCCTCTTCTATCACTCTAATGCGATAGACCTCCCGTCTCTCTTTCCAGATAAAAGGTTGTCGGCTCCCTTGTAGCTGGTCTTTTCCTGTGATGGCAAAATATTCGATCAGTACTTGCACTTGGTCTACCATGTGCCCACGGCCTACTTGTGTTCCATGACCAAGTAGCCCAACCCAATCTCCTTCTTTTAAGGTAGGGCCATTCCTAAGCGTGGTGTACCATTGAATGTTGAAAACTTTCAATAAGTTATTCCACTGCTGATTCTGTTAGATGGCCATACGCAGACGTCCTCGCATTCTTTCTGCATTTTTTCATTTCCTGGCTGCCACATCCCAGAGGTCCCCCACCCTCTGGACCACGTGCTTCACCCAAACCCTCCATGGGGGGTCTAAGGTACTCGCCTGGGCGAGGGAATTCGTGATTAGCCTATTACCAAACAACGGTTGCCTAAAACTTCCTTTCATCTTTTTGGCACTGAATGGTTGGGGATTGGGAGTTTCGTCCACGTGCGTAGGAGACGTAACCAATGCTCGGTTGCCTGGTCACCATTCGTGTATTTCCTTGGAAGTCCAACAGAAAAATTGTCGCAAATTTTCATCACGGTTTCAACTTGGACACAAGTCGGGTGCAACGTATGAAGAGGGTTAAATGGTTGGCCCAATCGTTTTTACGGGGCGTTTGCATGTTCTAAACTGTTTGCGAACATGCGGGTCACATGTTTTCAACTGTTGAACAACATAAGTTCAACATGATTCCAACACGTCCATGTTGGAGATTTTTTTTTTTTTGCAACATTGCCCTCATCTGGGAGTTGAGTACTGCGTGGCGATTTCGTAGCAAATGGTGACCCTTGTTGCTGGGCTGGCGCGCGGTAACCTACGTCCATGTTTATCGGGATGGATTGATGTTGTGGATGCGCAGGACCCCACCCCAATCCCCCGATTTTTTTTTGTTACAACCTTGCCCTCATCTGGGAGTTGACTACTGCGTGGCAATTTCGTTGCACATGGTGACCCTTGATGTCGGGCTGGCCCGAGGTAGTGAACGTCCATGTTTATCGGGAAGGANCGTGGCAATTTCGTTGCACATGGTGACCCTTGATGTCGGGCTGGCCCGAGGTAGTGAACGTCCATGTTTATCGGGAAGGATTGATGTTGTGGATGTGCAGGGCGAAACGAACATAAGAGGGGGGTTAAGTTGAGAGACCTGAAACGGAAAGAAAAAAAAAAAGTCCATGCCACAAAGGGGGTCGTGGAGTTCCGAGGAAAAAAAAATATATATAAATTATATTTTTGTAACCTTGCTCAGTCACATACATTTTGTCTGAATCCTTATTTTTTT